TCATTCACCAAAGCCACTTTATGAACTCCGTATTCGATAACACTTACGATGCAAATAAATACTGAGACATAGAAACAAGTGCACCATCCTTATCGATCGCTTGAGTCACAGTAAGACGCGCTCGCGATTTCAAAATTGCCTTCACAGTAGTCTATAGACTAGTCCACGAGAAATAACATCAATCGTGCAGGGCCAAAGTGGTAGCTATTTACAAGTTAATAGCTCCAGAATACTCCACGTCCCATAATGCGATGTTCACAGCTACAGGTCTAATGCGATCAAGTCTGCCACCCCAACGGCTACATTCTCATTCGCATATCTCCGAGCAAACGAGACATCGAGTTTTGGTGCTAGATCCTGCTTCGTACCAACCTGATCGGAAAAGAACTCATATGAGGTATACAGCCATGTGTTCCTCATCACTGCGATAATGCTTCCAGGATAGTAATGACTATGCAGGCGACCGAATTCGACCCGGCCCCAAGTACCAGAACAAACTCAGCCCGTTCGTTATGTTGAGCCACTTGATTCTGCCACCATTTTATTTGGTCGAAAGACGTTGAATTGGACAAATCGAAACACAACAAACATATCTGAAAACGATTCCCTGTACCGTTAGCAGCACCGCCACGAACGAGGCAAGCCGAGGCAGGCCACACATCCATGAACGCTCCCCAGTATTACATCCGCCTGTCTATAGTAATTCCCGGCCAATTGGGCAAACCGCTCCTGGCCTGCTGTATCATACAGAATCAACTTGATGGGCTCTGCTACACCTAGGAAAGGTATGCTGATGATGTTCTATGAGTGCACCGACACTAAACTTATCAAAAGTGTTGATGCTAGAGATTGAGCCCACCTGTCACATTCAGGGTCTTCTCCTTCGAGTCACAACCCAACGTGGATTGCGTGTTAGCGTCAAATACATCATCTACGAATCTGATCGGATACGTGACAAGCTGGCCCCAAAGATGCGATCCACCGTAGTTGTCGATACCCAAACTCTCTCCTCATACTACCTCGTGACCAAACAAGTCTTCCCTACGCTAGCGGGCCCCACTACAATGACCTTGCCAACTAAAACCTTAGGGACGGGCATGGCAGGAAGAGGCAACAAGCAATACTGAACAACAATCGAGTGATGTTCTATAAGTCGTTGATAATCTCCACTCAACAAAGTGAGCAAGTGTCGCGAGGATAATGACCAAGATCAGTCTATCGATTAGAATGGCTAGCGCTTTTAAGTTTATAATTTCAAGTTTATGTCACGGTAAATAAGAGATTTACTGCCCAGCCCCTTTCTCAGCTCTGCGTTGGAAAGTACACCACACAAGAAAAAAGAAGTCACGTTCAAGCAGCGCAACAGGAAAGCTGCACTGAGTGTGGCGAGCGCGTATGACTTCACACTTGCTCCCTTACTTGGACTTTTAATATCCACACGACGGTCGAAATACGACCCAAAGGTTCGTGGGTCGTAATCAGTGGGTCATATGAGTCATACAATACGGTACTATCATACCGTATGGTTCATACAGCCATACGACTCGTATGGACATCACGCCTAATGCGATTGACTCCAAATTGGAGTCTCCAATGGGTAGAGACATTGTCGTTTGTCGATTGTCCAATGATCTG